ACGCTGCTGCCACTATCGGAGGAGGATGAGCTGGAATCGCTGCTTGAGGTCACGGAACTGCTGGTAGACTCGCACTCGCACGACTTATCCGAGGACGACTCGGATGTAGTGAAGCCATCATGTGGCATGGGACTGGGATCGGAGACTATCAGCGCATGCAATCCATTGCCCAAGAGCAGCGTCCTAAGGAAAAGCAACCATTGAATCCGGTTCAGCTAAATTCCGGGTAAATTGCCCGGTACTCACTTGTAAAGCTTCTTGTCCGTCTCCGACTTGTCCGGCGTGTCCAAATACTTGACCTGCTCTGTCATTTTGCACAACGAGCCGTGTGTGATAGTCCGTACGCCGGTTAATTGAGTAATTGGGCTCGTGCGTTTCGTCCGGACGTGAAACTCCAATTGTCTGAGCAAATGTGCGCTGTATCGTTGCCAGCACATGCAACGCTCGAATGGGAATGAGGCGGACGACGATCCGGATCAACTGGGATCGGATCAATGGGATATCCTGAGGGAACAACGTCACAGGCTTCCAAATTCCCGACGCAAGGCAAATAATTAATATTTAAGCGATTTATATTAATCGAAAGACGTGTGCCTAGTGATGGACCAGATCCTTGGGTGTCGGCTTATCGATGACGCCGTCGAATTGGTTTGTGTGGCGGTATTTTACCTGTGGGGAAATGAAAATTCAAATAAGTTCATGACAGCGTTCTTCACAGCAAACTGATCATTATTCCAGTCTGGACTCAATGGTAAGAAAATAGCATTTCATCAAATCAGCAGTCATAAGAAAAATCGGTAATACAAAAAATACCAAAAGCTTAGCGCACCGATAGCCGGGCCAGATACTGGGAACCGATAACTCCGATAGGTTCGGGCCAATTACGTCTGGTATCGAACGCAAATTGTGTTTATTCCAAATAAATCCGATTCCAGCGGAGATGCAGTCGCGCAGCAAGTCCGATATGAAGCCCATCCGAAAAGAGATTCTCAATCCGGGCAACGCTTACATCGAGCTAACCCCGGGCACCAGGGTGAGTGCACAAAACCGCTGGGCAGGCTGTCCAGTTTCACCTGCGACAGCTGCAGCTGGAGCAAAACAGTGGGAAATTGGGCCAAGGCCACAGCCAGTGGGTGGTGCACACAACACAGCCTCATCTCTCATGATATTACCCTTTTACAGGTGAAGTTCCACTTCCAAACGCGGAGGGCCGGCGACAGTCGCATCATCGATGACAGCCGCAAGATGGAAAAGCCCATGGAGCTGGTCCTGGGAAAGAAATTTAAGCTGGAGGTCTGGGAGCTGATTGTGCAGCAGATGTCCCTTAACGAAGTGGCCAAGTTCACAGTGCATAAGTCGGTAAGGTAACAGAACCTGAATAACCTTATACCCACTAATCTAATTTCCTTCCGATCTCTTGCGCCTACAGCTCTGCTCTCAATATCCGTTCATATCGAAGACCCTGCGGGACATTGGCAAGAAACAAGAGGAGCGACGTCACTGCTGTGGAATGACGCTGCAAAACGAGGGCATTGGGTACACCGACCTGGACCAGCTGCTGCAAAATCCTGCCGAACTGGAGTTCATCATTGAACTGATCTCCATTGAGCTGCCAGAGCAGTACGAAAAGGAGCGCTGGCAGATGTCCGACGACGAGAAGATGCTGGCCACCAGTACGTTACGCGAACGGGGAAACAACTTCTACAAGGCCAGCCGGTTCACAGAGGCGGAGACTTGCTACCGCGAGGCCGTCGGCATTGTGGAGCAGCTGATGCTGAAGGAGAAGCCGCACGACGAGGAGTGGCAAGAACTGGCGGCTATCAAGACACCGCTGTTGTTAAACTACGCGCAATGCCGGTTGATCGCCGGTGACTTCTACGCTGTGATTGAGCACTGCAACGAGGTGCTCACCCTGGATCCGCGCAATGTCAAGGCACTTTTTCGACGAGCCAAGGCCCATGCGGGTGCCTGGAATCCAGCTCAGGCGCGCCGCGACTTTCTCGACGCTTTGGCCTTGGACGCCAGCCTGAAGTCGACCGTGTCTAAAGAGCTTAAGTCCATCGAGGACCAGCAGCAGGCCCGTAACGTCCAGGATCGCATTCACATGCAGAAGCTCTTCTAGAACATAAGTTGCGTCAACGTGCTGCTCATGCTGCTTGTCTATTGGAGCAGCTACCTGCAGCGCTAGCAGTACTTGTCACTACCTTCTTTACTTTCGCTGGCACTTAGCCTCGCCCACGGTCTCGTGCTGCTCTGCTCGATGGCGAACCTATTCCTCTGCTGCTGGACCCTCAAGAAGGTACTGCAAGCACTGCAGGGGATCAGCTGGTGATTTTGCGATGTCATAACACAATCAACTACGGTATCATACCACCTCATTTTCTGACTGCTGCATTTCGGAGCACTATATGCCCATACTCATCCTCCGCCTCGATTCACATTCAACGGTGTAGGCTAAAGGGTATAAATATAATGTAAATGTACCATCCAAATGCTTGAGTGGAATTGTAATCGTAAATCGTGTAAATGGAATGCAACATGTTTGCGTAGCGTTACCAAAAATAGTAATCAAATGTTTCACATTTGTTGTCCATAGTCGTATATGTACGTTTGTATTTGTATATCCCTATATGCGATATTTATTCGTAGCTAGAATCTACTCTAAATCTAGACAAATTGTATAAGATGTAATAAATGTGCTTTTGATGCTGTCTAATTGTTAATTGTAGTTGAAGACTTTATTGTTTGTATATATGCTGCAAGCATACGTAATAATATGCATTCGCATAAGGGAATACATTGTATTAAATAAATATTCAACCCTTTAAATGGACAAGTAAATAATTGTTCTCACCATTTGCATGGTTTTCAAAAGATAACACTAAGCTGAGATATCTTTTGTGGTTAGCTGACCGAAATAAAACTACCGCATTTGCTGACATCCGTTTCTAAAATAATGATAAAGAGGTTTGTTAAGCCAAGAAGCTTGTTATTTTTACCCAATTATATGGGCCGATATCGACAATAGAAATATTGACGAGCTGCAACCATCTGCAGTTCAAGAAATAAAATATCAAATTTTGTTTTAATATTAAGTTTGATTTACTAATTAAAAATCACGATTAAGCGGCATCGTTAACGAGTAATATACACAATAAATACACGAATATTATGAGCTAGGAAAATCTTTGGAGACCAATAAGAGTGTGGATTCAGTGGAGATCCTACAGGCGCCACAGACGACTGCTGTTGCCTCCGATGGCGCCCTCAGCCTCGCCGCGCAGCTTGTTGTCATCGGTGCGCCAGACGAAGGGCTCCAGTCGGTCATCGTCGTCCAGGAAGTTATTGATGGCCTCCAGGCTGGCAATGTTCTCGTGCAGCAGCGAATTGCACCTGCTCAGCTGATGCGATATGCTCCGGATCTTGGCAAATTGCTCGGCGTACGAGGCGTACGTCTTCTGCATATCCACGAATCCGGCAAAGAGGGTGGTGATCGAGTTGCTCACCACCTTGGTGCGTTCAACGAGGTGATTCTGTTCGCTGGCCACATAGCTGGCGCACAGATTCAGGTGCGTTTGCATGCGGGCACAAATGTTGACCAGATGCTGCGAGTTCAGCCGCTCCAGAATCTCAGCATCTCGTGTATTGGTCGCCGACGTGATGGACTCACGTAGCACGGGCAGAAACTGTGGTATATTGCGCAGTCGTGCGAGGTCTAGGTCCACATCCTCGCCAGCATCGCTGGCACCGGGACGCACAATCACAATATTATGACTGGATGCCGTGGACTGGGGTCGCTTTGGTTTCACGGCGCTGGTGAGTCCACTTGGATGTGACTTTCTGGCCGCAGCCCTGCTGGCGCTGCTCTGCTGGAGCATGTGCGCCGGCTTGCTGCGTATTTTGGGCGAATCGCCGATAGGCCGATCTGTATAGGACACATATGGTAGGTCGGAGCAGACGCTCAGCGGCGGCGAAGGCGGCCTGCTCAGTTCGGAACCGCCGGGCGAAGCGGCCTCGGCAATGATCTGCTTGCTAGCTATCACAATACTAGCTGGTCCCACTCCGGCACCTGGTCCCACCAATGTTCCACTTGCTCCTCCTGTCGTCTGCTGGCGATGACCAGCTCCACGTCGTTTGTTGGCCGCCGCAGTGGCCGCCAGCATCATGGAGCCCCCATCGCCGAGGGATCCAGCGCCCGCTCCTGGTGGCTGGCGTCCGTCGAAGATCTCGTGGCCATCGGCCTCAGCCCGCTGCTGCGAATGCTCGGCACCCATTTATCGATCCGATTCCTGGCTATTCCGACTCCGAGTTCCGCGTACTCCTGGACTGAAGTGCGTGGATAGCTGGCGCTGTCACTGATGCTGTCCTGGACCCACCTGCTGCGTCATTTCCAGTGGCCAAGGCCTGGGGATTCACTCCTCAAAACAAATCGATGTTAATTCCTTAGAACGAATCCCAACAAAGTACCAATCCTAAAAGTCCTAAAAATTTCCCAGCAGCCAGTTTGAATGCGCTAGTGTGTTTTTCGGTATTAAGATACAAGTAACACGCTGTTTCCACTGCATGCATGCTTTAAGCTTTCAAATACGGGGGTTTCCATTCTGAATTTAATTCGTCTCTTTTAAAAAATAGCATTCAAATAAATGGCTAAACTATAAATATATAATGAAATTATACAAAACTTTCATATTAAATATTTTTTTAAGGGGACCTTCTTGTTAATCATCCTAAACACAGGTGCTAAATTGCTGCTTCAGTTGAAGAATCTAATATCTCTCAAAAGTCTAAATTTGAAGCCATAGTTTCAACCCCTTAACTTCTAATCTCTGATCATTGCACAGACTTGGCAGGTATCTGTTGAAAATGTAAAATATAAATGGAATGTATACAACTTTTGTATGGACTGTATAAATAGGAAGATGTCGTAGAGGTTCAGATGAGCATAGGCGATAAGTGGAAAGCCTTCTCTCCTATTGCTTCCGTATAAGTTCTCCAGTGCTTTTATGACCGTCGTCGTTCTGGCCGGCATTTTCGACGCGTCGTGTCGGTTGAGGTGCTAATTCTCAGCATCGGATATGGATTCGGGTTTGGCTTTGGTTTTGGTTTCGGTTTCGATTTCAGCTTGAGCAATATTCCGCAAAGTCAGTTGGCTGACGACCGTGATCGCGATAACAACACTTTCACCCACCAGAACGGATTGCAATGGTGAGCATAGGGAATGGTGCTTTTGTAGAATAATCTTATCGAGCTGTTCCTTCTACCTATGTAGTTCATCGTCTATCTACATATCTACCTACCTATTATATTAATATTATTACTTCTTTCGCTAGCAATTACTTCCTTAAATTGGCTTCATTTTGAAAGTTTAAGTAATGTTGGTCCAGGTCAGGGGTTTTTATATTAAAGTTTTTTTTCTGTCAGTTTGAATTGAATGTTTTAATTTGAATAGAAGATTTAAAAAATTGCTATAGCTTTATGTCTAATTATTTAGTTTTTTTAGAATTCGTCGCTCCATTTGATGTTTATTAAATTTCCTTTTGTCGCCTAAGGCCAAACCACAGCACATTCTGCAGCTGAGTGAGGAGCAGCGGAGCAGCTTCGTCGACTCCTTCGACCGGGTGATCAGCGACATCGATGGCGTCCTGTGGACCCTGGAGCACAGTGTGCCGCGTGCCGCCGACGGATACGCCGCCCTCCAGCGGATCGGCAAGCAGCTAACCTTCGTGACCAACAACAGTGTCCGCACGGTGGAGCAGTGCGTCAAGAGCTTCGCCAAGATCGGGATGCAGGTGCAGCCGGAGCAGATTTGGCACCCGGCTCAGTCCATCGTCAGCTACCTGCAGAGCATCAAGTTCCAGGGCCTCATCTACATCATCGCCAGCCAGCAGTTCAAGGCGGTGCTGCGCGAGGCGGGATTCCAGCTCCTGGACGGGGTGAGTAGTAACTAGATGGGTGGAAGTGATTGCTCAGGGTTCCTACACTTTGACTCTTCAATACAAAACAGCCAGTTTTAGTTGTATATTTAAAAAGCATAATTATCAGTTTATTGGCATGATTTGCATGTATTCCAACATTCCATAAACCTATCTATGCCTAGTTATATTCCATTTGGTTGGCTAACTTTCCCTGCAGCCCAACGAATTCATCGAGGAGAGCTACGAGAGCCTGGCCAAGCACATCTTCGGCAAAGAGCCGGTGCGCGCCGTCATCATCGACGTGGACTTCAACCTGACCTCCCCGAAGTTGCTGCGCGCCCATCTGTACCTGCGCCATCCGGAGTGCCTGCTCATTGAGGGCGCCACCGATCGGCTGCTGCCGGTGGCCAAGGGGGTGAACATCATCGGTCCGGGAGCCTTCGCCTCCATCCTGGTGGAGGCCAGTGGCAAGCAGGCCATTACGCTGGGCAAGCCTGGTCGCGAGCTGGGTGATCTGATTGTCGGGCACCTCAAGATCGATCAGCCCGGTCGGGTGCTCATGATCGGCGATATGTTGGCCCAGGACGTGAGCTTTGGGCGGCAGTGCGGCTTCCAAACGCTGCTGGTGCTCAGCGGTGGATGCACCAGGGAGCAGCTGCTGGCGGAAACGGATCCGCAGCTCATTCCGGACTACTACGCGGACAGTGTGGCCGATGTGGCCCAGCTGCTGGGCGAGGCGCCCAAGTCGCGTGTCTAGACGGAGTCCGGCGGAGGAGATCGAACAAAGCTATATCCATTGGCTATGTATCTAGTTATGGGTACCTGGGTAACTAAAATAGTTTATTATTGCTAACCAGATCGTTTTCTGCCCCTTGTGCGAAACTTGAATCATAATAAGCAAACAGAGTTGACGAACCTTGGAGTTCCAGGAAATTGAAGCCACTGCATCGTTGCAACCAATTGGTCGTAAAAGATTCATAGATGGGCGATGGGCAGTGAATATATACGTACAGTCTAGCTGCAGCAGTCCACGATGTTTTATTATCAGAAATGTACACAAGTTACCTAGAAATTTAGCGATCGCACTTTGGGCTTCCTCGCAATTCACAATGTAAAGAGATTGAAATAAATATAAAATATATAATGTAAAAAAACTTGAAAATTTCGTCAAAACAACACTCTCATTTATTATTTTATATTTTGTAGATTGCCTGTTGCTAACCATTTTGATCAGATATCAAATAGATTATATCGGGATTATTAACTTTCTATTACCTAAAAAAAAACAAACATTTAAACTTTTGAACTAAAAGCAGTAGCTCTAAGTTCATTCGCTTCGCCATACTCCAAATAACAGGGTATCCCTCACGTTCAAAGTCGAGGAACACAGTGCGGTGAGTAACCGGAGGCACTCTGGGCCTCCACCCATTACCAACCAACAAACTTGATCATAAAGCCACAGATAAGTTGGACAAACACTTGAACACTATCATCAAGCCGAATGCGCCGAGTCACAGTCAATCGATTCCGGATTATTGGGTACTATCTGGCCCAGGCAATCGGCCAGATAATCGGGCACCTGGGAATGGTCCTTTGGCAGTCGCTGGACATCCTCCAGCTTGGTGCCGCCGGTGAGGACGAGGAGCGTCTGGTAGCCACTGGCGCGGCCGAATGCAATGTCGCTGGCCAGGCTGTCGCCCACGAAGAGTACGCGGCTGGGCGGGATTTCCCGATGGCGATCCAGGAGGAGCTTGCGCAGATCCTCTCCTGGCTTGCCCAAAGTAATGGGCCGACGGCCAACTGCCTGGGTCACCACATCGATGAAGGCTCCAGGTCCTTTTTGATTGAAAACCAAAGGAAAAATAATGACATTGATTCACTTTGAAAGGCCCTGCTTACCTATAATTTCACCCTTGCCAAAAGGAATCAAAGCATCGGCAGCTCCGGCGAGGAAGAGGCACTGGGAATTCTGGAGCTGAACGTGGGCGCGCATCAACTTGGCCGCCGACAGGTTGAAGTCCACATCGATGATGACCGCGTCCACCGACTCGCCGGAGAAGATGGCCTCGTGCAGATCCTTCAGGCTGGTGATGATCCCCGAACCACTCTATTGAGATTGCATCTAGAGATTGGGAAGCCTTCACCACGATTTCTGCCACCTACCTCTTCGGTCAAACGAAAACCCGCCTTAACAAGGACCTCCTTGAATGGAGGAGTGGCCAGGCAGTAGATGAGTCCCTCGAAGTTAATGGATTTCAGGTGATCGCAGATGGTTTGGGCAGGATGAACGACTTGATGCTGGTTAGGAAGAGATAGTAGCTTACAATATAGCTCCCAATCATGCCTGCTCACCTCAGCAATCTTAAGATGGCCCTGTTTCTCGAATTTCTCGATGTGCTCCTTCACCGAACTGATGCTATTGTTGGTCACAAAGGTCACATCCTTGCCCAGATGGGCCAAATGGGCCAGTGCCCCAGCGGAACCGGGTATGAAGTCCCTCAGGGGATACCAAACCACGCCTAGGGGAATAAAGCCCGTCATGACCACATCGACTAGGTGAATCGAGGTAAGCAAACTTGCCATCGCAATCGCAGAAAACCAAGTCAAATGAGTCAAAGAACTCATCCCGTTCCTTCCTTGTCATATTCTTTAGATACTTAACCTGGGGAGAGATACTTTTAAACAATCTGAAAGCTATCCCTTGCATACGACCGAATTGTAAAATTGTACATAATTAAAAGCCGGGCAGCAGGGAACCGATCTATATCCATATATCACAAAATCGGCTTATACAACCAGATCATTTTCCATTCTACCCACCGAACTCATTCCGATCCAGTGATGGAAACTACGACGCAAATCCGGACTTGGAGGGGTTTTAGCACGGGATTCCGAATGCCAATGCCGATCCAGATTCAGATTCAGATTCAGACTCGGATTCCGATTCCTCGCAGCTCAAAGTTCCAGTCCAGCGGTGCGACTCAACCCAGTCGAAGTGCCAGAGACAGATTTGTAACTAAGTCCAGCGAGACGAGCACGCCAATCTGGAAGACCCAGCTCGAAGAGCACTGCCTGGCCGTGGAGAGGGGTGGGTTGCATGGAGGGCGATTGCATTACACACTTCAAATTGCATTAGACCAGCAGCAGCAGCACCCAGGGTATGCAGATTGGGGCGAGGTAAGTGGCACACACTGCGAAAAAATCCAATTATGGCGCAGATCTATCTAGTGAGCAGGATTAGAGATGGAATCCAGCTCTGTCACTCGTTGAAATTTCATTTCTTCTCATATACTTGTAGCAATACTTGGCTTATTTAAGATTGGCGCGTTTTTCCCAGTGTAGTTACACCTCAATCGCACGTAATCCATGGGCTGCTCGACTGGCAACTAGGTGGTCAGGGGCAGTAAGCGGTGTCTCTGTCAATTGAATGTTGACCAGCCAAGTCGCCGGGTGGCGTTCCAATTGATTTGCCTCCATCGCCTCTCAATTGAGCAATTTCGGTGGCAGCTTATCCAGTGCATCCGGTTTACTTTCCAACGCATCTATATCCACATGGCATGGATGAAAACCCAGGACAGTCCAATCACCGTTCACAGTAATGGAGTTAAACCCATTTCATTTATTTGTTATTTCGTTTCCGGCACACAACACAATTGCTTTCTGGCTTAATCTCTATCGTAATCGTAGCTGCTATGATTAGTTTTAGTTTGTATCGTATAAATATGTTTATCAAAACAACAATTCACTATATAGTACGCACTGGTAAGTAGCATTTAGAGTTCTACAAAATATTGCGAAATGTGCAATGCGCTCGCTCTCGCTTGGCAATAATCAACAATAAAAACAATGGTTTTGTGGGGAGGATGAACCGCACTTGGGTTCGCTTCTCGGTTTGTGGGCAACATTGTTAGGTACATTGGATTGTTTCTTAGTGTCTGGATGGGTGCCAGCTTGTTCAGCTCGCACACATCTTGTGGTGTTTAATTCGTAATCGTTTTGCTCATGACCGATCCAACATGGTTGTGCCGAGGTGGCCACCAGGAGTTCCGCCGTCTCTAAATTATAAATACTCGTTGTTAATGCACTTTGGACGTGTGGTGTGTGTGTGGGTGTGGGTGTGTATATAATTTAAATGTTCAAGTACATATCTCTAGAACTGTGTGCTGCTCGAGCGACTTGGCCTCACTGTGATCCAACCGGGTGATGATTCAATATACTCGACTCCCAGCGAGGAGTCCATCACGAGTCCATCAAGTAACAATATAAAATCCTATTCGTGTATGTATAAAAATGCAGTTGCTTGACTCGGGGCTCCGACTCCCCATATTCGTTGAGCACTTCCCACGCAAACGCAGTACAAAAATCATCATAAGTACGAAGCACTGCATCCATGCGATAGCAGTCGACAATCCCTAGCTATTCGCGTGTCGGTATGTACAAAAGTTTGGCTAACTACATGTTGCTGGGGGTGGGGGAAACCAAGGAATGATCTGACGAACATGCAGCTCCCATTCGCCGCTCCCTACACAAAGGAGGTGGCCTCGTCGCGGCTCCGGATCACCGTTTCATTGTTGCGCCGCCGCAGTTCACCATCCGACTTCTGCTGGCCGTTGCGTTCCGTCTGCACCATTTTCATGGCGTGCTGCTTCTCGTACTCGATGATGTGCTCCCGCAAGAGGAAGTTCTCCCGCTTGATGCGCTTCAGCAGGCGACCTGACACATCCGGCACGGCCCAGCGCAGGATGCCCTGCATCATGGTGATAATGTTCTGTGGGAACCAGATCAACGTTAGCTCGAAATGAAGTGTGTTATGCACTGCCCACTGCGCACCTGATAGATGACGATGAAGGCCAAGCGACCCGTCAGTATCTTCCAATATATCATGGGACGCTTATAGGGATGCGGATCGTCCGGCGGGTTTCGGAACTCGGTGTAGCGGCACACCGTCTCGTTCACATGCTGACTGCCTCCGAGCAGTGGCTGCACCTGGAAGTCCTTGGTGTTGAACACAGCCAGCGTGAAGTTCAGATAGTTGTTCAGCTCGGGATCACCCATTGAGGCGGCGTACACGATTTTCGGTACGAGGTTCGTGCTAAATGCGATTATCATTGCCTGCGAAGCGGATTTGGGATGAGGAATTGTACAGCCATCGGGGCAAAGAGATGTCTAACAGACTCACACTCGAGGCCACGGCGATCCGGGTGACGACGGTCATAATGCTGTGCCAAACCCCAATGTCGCGGGCTCGCATGCCCACGGGCCGCCGCAGGAAGCGCAGCATCTTGATGGCGTCCAGGCGCACCTCGATCACATTGTTCAGCAGGGCCAGCAGCGGCGCCAACGGGAAGGCCAAACTAAACAGTGTGATGAAGCCGAATTGCACAACTGCCCAAGAAATGGTTCATTAGTAAAGGGAACTTTTGGGAGATATGTTAAGGCTATAGAAGTTCGTACCCATTTCGAGGTACTCCGCGTAGAGCGAGTTGTTCTGGGCAGGCAGTAGATTGTAGTCCTCGGTGAACTGGTTGTAGGGCACCAGACGCTGGTCCTGGTGGCTCTTGTACCAGCCGTGGCGGTAGCTCAGCTCCTTGAAGGTGCGCATCAGGTAGGGGATGAGCATCTCCACAATGGCGTTGACCACCTGCTTGCCAGCCATAATAATAACCAGCTGCATGCAGAGCTCCATAAGGCAGCCGCCAGGATTGCACTCCTCCTGGCGAAAGCCCAGCACGCGGTTGTACTTCGCCGGATAGCCGACGAACTTGCCCTTGAGGAAGGCGATGTAGAAGAGCGAGGAGTAGTAATTGACGAACTGGAACACATAGTTTTTGATAGTTAGGCTTTCGTCGTACTCCGTCTGGGTGCGACAGTACTCGTAGTTGGTTAGCTTCACTGCCAAATTGGAGTAAACCATGTCCAGCAGCGAGATCACTATTAGGTCGATGATGCCCGCCGTCATGGGCAATATCATAACCTTAAAGGTCATGGAGTTCTCACTGCCCAAAATGCTGTGCGAGGCTCGCTGTGCCATTCTATAGATGATTATGCCCGCTATGGCAATGACTGATATGCAAATCTATAGGGGAGAACATTATAATGCGGCTCCAATGCGGCAACAGATTGTTCGGTTACTCACAAACAATACCATGATGCTGTAACTGGTGAAGTTTGGCAGGAACTTGATGCTCCAGAAGGGCACATCCGGATCCAAGACGTTCCGCTTGCCAGTCTGGTCCTGCCCGTAAGCTTTGCCGGCCAGCCTTTTGGTGCGGGATATTTTGGCCAAGTATTGCGGACGCGGGTGCTCCACGTGGTGGGTGAAGCCAGTCAGTCCCCAGCGGTGCACCAGACCCGCCGAGTAGCGTTTCCAGAACTCCAGGTACACCACTGCCCAAATGGCCATCGAAAAGGCGAACACCACCGTCATGTTGTTGTCTATCAGATAGTTGAACTTGGAGGAGGTACACGTCTCGTTCAGTCGCCAATAGTCACAGCTGCGGTCGCACTGCGGACACATGATCGTCCCATTGTCGTCGCAAATGTCCCGGCTAATCGGATCGCTGCTCCACGTGACGAAGCCGTACAGGAAGCAGAGCACGCCGAATATGCTAATGGGTATCAGCATTTGCGTGTAGAATCCCAGCCAGGCAAAGTAGAGTGCCACCTTTGCTCCGAAATAGTCTTTGATTTGGTCCAGTGGTTGCAGGCTGCAATTAAATGGTTGTAGTGATTAGTGATTGCTCTAACTGAAAGTCTGATTTTCTTACTTCTTCCACTTGGATATGTTGGCCCACTCCTTTAGCAGCCGCTCGCGATCATCTTTCTGCAATGAGATATGGACACTATGAGTGGGAAATTCGAGTAGGGAAAATGGAGCGGGAACCCACATCGTGCAAGGTGTAGGCGCAGGTGTAGACGCCATCCTGGACGAGCTTCTCGATGCCCAGATTGTCGGCCGTCTCCTCGCCCTCCACGAAATGCTGGCGCTGCAGAATGAAATTGATGATGGAGTAGCGGGTGCTGGCGTCGAGAAAGTTCGGGTGCTCCGTGTCGTACAGCTCCAGGTAGTTGCGGGAGAACTCGAGATGGATGCGCGGCTCGCGTTCCGGGAATAGGGCCGTATTCAGCTGCACGGAACTGAAGAGGCTCTTGCACATGCGACTGCAGCAGGTCTTGAACTCGTGCGCCGACTCGGCGAAGATTTGATCCTGGCCGGGAATGGGCTTGAGCGGCACCTTGATCTTGAGTATTTCCGCATAGCGATACAGCACCTCCGTCGGCGCATGGATCTTGATGAAGTGAACGCGCTGCACCTTGTTGTGCTCCAGCTGCAAGCCCTCCCGCTGCAGATTCGCCTCAAAGATCTCGCACTTGCGCCGGTGCTCCTCCAGCTGGGTCTCTCCATTGTACGCCAGCACAAAGTCCACGCTCCGCTTGCCATCGTCGAAGCGTCTGTACGTCTGCAGATGCCCAGAGATCCGCATGTAAGCATGTGCCAGTGGAAAGAGAACGACCAAGACGGAGAGCATTAGTATAGTTATATATAAATACATTTGCTTATCAACTAGACGGCAACAAAGCGTGTGGGTGCGTGTGCCTACACATTTCCCCCTGGTCACCACCCTATCACCGTGGCGGGCTCCTCCCGCCGATCTGCGGAGCGCAGCCCGAGCAGGAGGCAGCAGATCAGCATGATGGTCGCCCGGAACCAAACCAAACCGAACCGAACCGAGCCGAAACACAACCGTCGTGGTCGACACACTACAGGCAAATAGTGGGCTCTACGGATTGCCCAGCTGTTTGCTGCAATCAGTATGTGCTCCAAAGTACCAAAACGCCCCACGCCCAACGCCCCCCGTCCGACTTAGACATTAAGTAACAGTATACAAAATTCGCATTAAGTGTTCATACCCAATCCCGCAAGCAAACTATAGGAAATAGAGAAATATAAACAAACAAAGGAGAGCGTGAAAGAAGGCGGCAAGAACTTGATCAAGTGCAGAATATATGTAAATATCATTACAGCAACAGGGGAATCAAATGGGTGACTGGTGTGGGTACAGTGGTCGCTCCTTAGCGCGAAGTGCCCCTCGATTTTCTAACGATATTCTTCTGTTTGTTGGGTGAACAAACACCAACATCTGATAATGACCTACTTTCAAAGATTCTATATTTAGAAGAGTACATTATCTGCGCAGATCTTTTATGGATTTCTAAGTATTCCACCAAGATAAGTTAGGTACTGGTTAGATTGTCATTCAACTATTAATCATTCACAATTATTTGTGTAATTTTGTGTAATACTGCAGTGTAGCATTAAGCGTTTAGATTTCTAAGTAGAAAGTTTGGTGTGAATTTGAAAAGTAGTAGCTATAAGAAGCTGAATTGAAATTGGAAAAGCTCCATAGTGCCAATACGCGAAGGATACTCAAAGGCAGCAACCAAAGCAACCACTGGACCACTGGCCATCGAAATTCGTGTCTGATAGCTTGAATGAGTGCTCCGGCAGATGGGTGAAAGTGATTCTCGAATGGCGGATGGCGGATGAGATGGACTGGGCATCGGCAACTGCAACTGCAAGGCAAACGTGGAGGTGAGGAGATCGATGGATGTGCGACGTGCGAGGGATAAAGACATCGGCGGCAGTGCAAAAGCGAGGGCTTTCAACCGGAGCCATGTGCCTAATCGTTGTGGAACGTATTTGGTTTTGAGAGTTGAATTGGAATCGTATGCTACTGTCGTTGTTTACCCTTGATTTCCACTGGGAGTATGTTATTGGCAATTTCTTATCTTTATTAGAAATGTTGCTACTAGTTCTTAACAGACGTCTAGAGACCTCATCGTCACCACCTCCTTGTCCTCCATCTCCGGTCACACCAATCCCGTTGGGCGGCAGGTGGTTTCGTCCGTTTTGCAGGGCAATTATTTGGGCGGCGAATGCGGCATCCGTTTGATCACCACCACCACCTCCGCCACCGCCACCGCCGTTGAGGTGCTCCAGTGCCGTCGACTGGCGGTATCCGGGTTGCCAGGCTAGCGCCGCGTGCTCGGCGGCTACTCCGCCGCCCAGGCGCACCCTTCCTCCTGCTCCTCCTCCTCCTCCTCCCTCGTCGCCCGCCAGATCGACCGCCGAGTGGTAGATGGTGTTGCGCGACTGCGAGATCGATTTGCGATGCGCCGCCGCAGCAGCCGCCGCCTCCGATTCCGCCAGCGATATGGTGTCGAAGTACAGACTCTCCCGCTCGTCCATTTCAGATTCGGGGTAGTCGTAGTCGTGGGTGCGGACTGCAACGAAGTTTGAGATTAGTCGGTTGTTCTGGCACTCGCATTACAAGTAGTTGAGATTCAGATGATATGGGATGAGTTGCGATGAGAGGTGAGGCGGTGGTTGGTGGCTGATAAGTTAGTTGTTACATTGCCACACTCAAATTGCATAAACATTTATAAGCTAGTTTATCGGGAAAGTAACAACACGTGGGGTTTGCGGACATGTGATATGATATATGATCTCTTTGGTGTTTTAGTTGAATGAAAGAAAGCTGATAGTTCCGATTTGCGCTTAGAAAAATATCATTTCCAACGAACTGATGCCATAAAATGACTGTGAACTGGTGAACGAAAAAACGAAAGTGCTTGACCCAATCCCCTCTATAATGAACATTCAATTAGGCATCATGACACAATACCAACTCCAATAAGTAATAAGTAATTGTCGTCAAAAGAATGTGGAGCGCAAATAATACAAATTAATGGTGGCATGATGCACTTTTAAGAGATCATTTCAAAACTCCAACAAAATAAGTTCTTTAAATGCAGTAAATGATACACAAACTTGTATATATCAAAATAGATTATTTCCCCAATGTTATTAATTGAGATTAATCGAAATATCAGACCCGCTCATATTAATTACTGATAAGCCCCGAAAATCCCGATAGTGAGTCTGTGCCCATGATAGTGGGGATGATGGAATTTCGGCCATCAAATTTTCAGGCGGACCCAATTTGGAAGCCAACTTATCGGGCTCCAGCTGTCGCTGATACCGCCGCCTGACTCATTTAAATGCGGTCAATTACATAAGTGCCCCACAAGTGCGTTTCCATGTCCATGACAGTCCATGGTGTGAGAATGCGTGCGAGAACTTCGATGAATGAATGGATCGAGGGTTGGATGAGTGGACGGACTGCCGCTGATGATGATGATCAGTTTCCGGTGCAGCAAACCCCCGCCCAGTGCTATTTCCAAACTAAGAACGGACAAACAGAGCCAAATCAAGCTTGAAACAAAAACCAAACAATGACAGCGCTCCAAAGATCAATATTATACGCAACGAAATGAAACAAGGATGGCGATCCGACATCCATATGTATGTATATGGTGTGTACATAATATCAGAGTTCAAACAAATTTGCATGCCGACGGGTGCGATGTTGGAAGTGTGGAATTGACTCGGTTAACTTAAATAATTTACCCGCCGAATACATGATTGGTGGCTAGGGAAGAGCGAGGTGAATGTCTGGCGGCAGTTTGTTCTTTTTTGGGAAGTCGATCGATCGCAGATCCCTCCAGCGGTCTGTTACCAGCGATCCAGCTGGTCCTGCTGATCCTGCTGCTCCTTCTTATCCTGCTGCTCCCTCGTTTCGAGTGACTCCTTCTCAAGTCCTGAATCTTTCGGCACTTTCTCGGCGGCTGCGCAGCGGCACCGACTTCCACGCATTACGATTCTCGAACTGCCGGCAGTGGAAGAAGAGCAATTGATGCAGGGAATAAGCTCGTGGCTCCACAAAACAAAAAACCAAAAAACTGGATGTTTCTAAGCAATCTAAGAATTCAAACTGAAACCGAAAGCGAAACACTCGGAGATTCACCCGCGAATGATGTCAGACGGAAAATTAAATGCTGAGCCAGTGGGAAAGCAATGTGCGTACACTCGCGTTGTTTGGCGATTACTGAAAACAGAGTACGAAAAGAATAATAGAGGCGGAATATACACAAATTCGGTTCGGGTTTGCCAGCCAGCCAGCCAGCCAGCTAACCAACCAACCAACCTCACAAATCGCCGAGCGCCTCAATAAGCTGATTGCCCAAATAGGCGTGCAGCTAGATGTGACGACGCACAGTGGCCGGAAATCGGGGGAAATGGGTGCCGTAATGCCTATGCCCCCAAGAATATTTGCCAGACTTCAGAGCACCCAGAAAGATAGTTGCAATGGCTTCAGTTCAAACAATTATTCAGCTCGGGCATCGCGATTTGAAACTCGCAGGCATCTTGCAGTTCTATAAAGAATGTCTGCTTTCAATTCAGTATAATGAACATATTCATATAAAATATGGAAGATTTCTTAGAAATTAAACAAAATATACTTGTAGGGAATTAAAAATGATGATTTATAGCTGCATATCTGGGGGCCTACACAATCCCACTGTAGTCATCTGAACATTAATACAGAAAAAAACCTCCATTTGCGTCGAATGTTTCACGAGAGAACAACTTTTTCATTCATCTTAAAAAAATGAACAAATCCAAACAGTCGATTGTGGTTTAGATTCAATTTCGTATGTGTAATTCTATTATTCTCCCATATAGACACATATTCGAATGGCTCTAATAGGTAGTGCTTATTTTGATGTTAATTTATGGATCATTAAAAGTTGTGAATTTAAAAGATGGATACCCACACATTTAGATTCGAAGTAACCCTGTTGTTTTTAAATGTTTTGCAAAGGAAATACATTTGCTTGAACATAATACATCGCCGTGGACTGCTCGTGAGAAAAAGGCCGCAGCAATTTTGATTGAGGTCAAGTAAATGACCCGTCTGGAGAGAATATGTTACCAGCGGCAGGATTTTTATGTAAAATATTTGAGTTCAGACATCATATTCCTGGGGAAGTGCAGTGTAGGGAAGGCCAGAAAACGACAGGCACCCGCCAGAATCATTAACCTTGACGGAGTACAGACAATCCCTGGGTGCAGACGAATGTTTGAATTTGACGGGGGAGAACGGGTTAACATGTTGGCGGCAAAGGTAAAGGTCAAGCTGTTCCCGCAGATTGTTGACATACCAAAGTGCGAACAGAATGCTCGTAAAGAATACGAATCTATAGGAACGAAACCAGTTTTGGCATGTGTGTATAATGGAACACCTATAAAATGAAGGTGGGAGGAACTAGTCCAAGACACGCGAATCGGTTGAAAGAACATAGAAGCACGCCGGAGAAAGCTCTATTCCCCAAATTCGGAATACCGGATGACATTGGTGATGGTGATGATGGCGTTTCTGATGATGATGATGATGCACTACACCTTCGATTCTGTGTATGTGGACATTTCTATTTTTAGCAAACTGCAGTGGCCGAAAATAAACGGAAGGCCTGCCGGTGGAGCATTCAATACTATAGCTATGGAATATCGAGATTTTGGTTAGGAACAAGGTGTTAGTATAGCTGGCTATGCCCTGCCAACGTGATAATTCCAATCCCATTTTTTTGTATATTTTGTGGTCTCACCTGGGTTTGTTGTCGTTGAATTTAGCTAGTGTTCACCGTAGTTGACATATCCACTGTGCCCCCCTCAAACAAATCCCGCCTTCAGCGCACTTCACTCGCTTCGCACAGCCGACAAACAATTATTGCAGTTAAAGAAACCGCCAGCAAGGCTTGTTTTTAATAAATTTACTAAACGCCACAAACGAACCGTCCGCGGCCAGTGTTGCCAGATGCATAACATTATCCAATCAGCTGTTGATTGGGCTACTCAATTCGCGTTCACCAACACCGCTTCATCTATCGATAGGCGGCATACAGATGTTTATTGTGAACAAGGCCAGTGACTTGACATCGGAACTGGCCCATCCCTAATAGTATTTTGATATTTTGATCTGTAAGATATATCTTCATAAAATTGTGCAATAAATTGGGGGTGGCTGGAGCATCCTGGAGGATAGCGAGGCGCCATGGTGTACATCGACCATAGTGAGTATCATTGACTTAACTGCACCCTGGAATTTCCATAACATTTCGCATTGGCCTAATTCCACAGATGGGCGCGTGTGGGAGAAGCGTCCTTGGGACTGGCGACGGATTGTGGAGCTGTTCGTCGGGATATGGTTTGCCATCAAGCAGCTGTGAGTTGAGCACTGGACTACGCGTCGTGAAATACAGCTAATGCAGCACGATTTCCCCGCAGGTTCCTTACATTCCTCGCTCCCTTTACGGGCAACGATAACCAGGCCAATCCGCGGCGCGGAAATGGATGGGGCGGCGGAGGAGGATGGGGAGGCGGCGGTGGAGGTGGTGGTGGTGGAGGCGGCGGCGGAGGAGGAGGAAGACCTGGATCTGGATCAGGAGGACTAAGACCAAACCGCCGGATCGGACGCATTCAGACGACTATGAGCTGCAATATGCCCGCTGGAGGCGGATGAGGATAGTAGCGACATCCGTTTCCCAAGACTCTTGCACTCTTGGGAGGATGTCGCGCCGACAGAAGGCTGGCCGCGTTCAGCAGCATTTCCAATGGCCTAGAAATCACGGCTGATCCCGCCCATGTGGCGCATATGACGCAGTTGTTTTAAACTCGTACTCGAGCGGACAACTGCTGAATACGATTATTCACTGATTCCTGGGTCGCTGCTTACGTGGCCGTCGTCGGTTCCATTTATCAACTAACTCCAATATATTGCTAGGAGTTTTTTATATCGGTCTGCGGGTTTATAATGGCGAATTAATAAGTACAAAGTCACAGTACCCAAAAAGAAATACATAGTTATTCTGGTGAAATACATAAATAAATACCAAGCATAACTTTTGCAAAAACGCTGTTTTAATATGTTCGTAAACAATGTGTGTTTTTCAAATTCAATTTAAAATTTATCCATACATGACTATCGGAATGACATCGTGCGATATTTGTTGTATCATCGCTGTTTTAATATGTTTCTAAGCAATGTGTTTTTTCAAATTCAATTTAAAAATTTATCAATACATGTATTAATATTAACATTATTCTGTTACTATCGAATGACATCGTGCGATATTTGTTGTATCATCAGCTGGTTCAGCTGTCCATCTCTAAACACCACGTCAATTTTTGTTTTGTATACAATCAGATCAAAAAATTTGCGTTGGCCCAGATTTAAAAGTTAAAAGTTTGAACGAAACAAAAGGTATTGCATGCTAATTTCGCCTTAAAATGGCGTACGTCGATCAAAGTGAGTGCAATTGATGAGCATGATGTCTCCAGAGTGCTCAACCCTTTGTTTTGCAGATGGTCGCCTATGGGAGAAACGTCCTTGGGACTTGAGACGGGTTTTGGCCATCTTCGTGGGTATATGGTTTGCCATCAAGCAGTTGTAAGTGATTAATGGATGTACCAAGTCTGGGATGCGTTAACCCATAACCTTCTTTTCAGGTTTGCATCGTTCCTGTCTCCATTCACTGGAAATGATAACAACGGAGACAACTCCCGTCGAGGAAGCGGATGGGGAAGTAGCAGCTGGGGCGGAGGCGGAGGAGGAGGTGGTGGTGGTGGTGGAGGTGGAGGCGGTGGAGGAGGAGGAGGTGGATATGGCGGAGGCGGATTAAGGCCCAACCGACGAATTGGGCGCATACCGCCGCCCTCCCAATCCTGTAGTGCTGGAGGATGCTGCGGCTAAAGCAATAGTTCATGCGTTTTGGTTCCCAGACTGCTTAACCAAGATGCTCCAATACCTAATCCATCTCACCTCCGTGATGCGGCAATTTTGTATCAAATATATTATGGTTCTAATTAGTCCTATGGTTTTGGATTGAGCAAATTCTAAATATGCATTCATATGCATTCAAATATATTTATAATAATAAACTTATTAATTTCCTAACTTACAATGAATCAAATCGAGCTCAACGAGGTATGACATTCCACATTAAATACTGATTATTTTTTTTACAAAAAATCTGGGAATCGATTTCTGTTAAAAATGCAATATTTCCGAATGGTTTTTTCTGTATAACTTGGCTAAAAATGGTCACACAGCTAAGGTAATTACAGTTTTTTGATCCTAATTACCAATACTAATCATCCCTATCACTTTTTGTCCGAGTTGGGAAAATAAATTTTTTGGTCAAATTTCGCATTTTTTGTAAGGGGTACCATCATCCAAATTTGCAAAAAATTGAAAAAAATTACAATTCTCAAATTTGAATCCAAATCGATTGGGATTTAAATTACGAGCTCAACGGGATATGACATTCCACATTCGGACAATTATTTCAAGTGTTATGACCAAAATACTGATTTTTTTTTCACAAAAAATCTGGGAATCGATTTTTGTCAAAAATGCAATCCCATGCCAAAAATGATGATCTAGCTCGAATATAGAATGTAGAAACAGAATAGACCAATCGATTATAAATTAAATTCATGATTTTGAATCTTCCGCCAAAAATGGGTTCCGAATAATCGATGATAGCCCAAATGTAGCCACTTTTTGACAGGCTGAGTGCGATCTGGCAGCGCCGGTGGGAACATATGTTCAGTTGACTGGTGAAAAGAAGAAGCACAGATGCGGCGCCTGGTGCGAAATTGGAATTGCCGATTGTTATTTAACGCCAAATCCGGCCAGGAAGTTGTGAGACATGCCGGAATTCATCAGGAGGCCAATATCAATGCAGATCCGAAGGAGAAGAAAGTGGTTGAGGTGGACAAGAATGGATACGGGGCCAAACATTGCATGAGTCTAGTGGAGTAAGTAGCACAAGCTTGGCGATTCAATTTATACTTATAATTGAATAAGAATCTTTTCCGGGTAACTAGGAAATACGACTACGAGAACTACCTGTGCACCCTGCTCCTGCCGCGGGAACTGCGACGAGCTGCTTTCGCCCTGCGGGCATTCAATGTGGAGGTCTCCAGATCGGTCAGCGGCCATGTGAGTGGGTCATCAGAATTCATTGGGACTTACTTCATAAGTCAGAATAACGTGGCTGTTCAGCTTCAAAAGGAGCTTTAGCTCCTTATCAGTATTATCCATAGTCATCATCATTGGCCATCATTGCCATCATTGGCTTTTGTCCGCAACTTACGAGTAGTTCGAGCGCTTTTACAAAGCAGTTAAGGAATATATTGGTCTATTTTAATAAAGCCATTGAGGGAGTTGTATTTCTCTCCTTTTCAAATGGTAAGAGAAATTCTCAACAGCAGTGCGTATATTTTGAATATTCCCCATTTAATGTTTATTCCTTCGCACTTAATAGTTTATATAATCTTATATATTTTGTCTAACAATATGTTTGCCATTCCATATCCTTGCAGCAAATTGAGCCGCAAATAGCGAAAATGCGCCTTAAGTTCTGGCACGACTCCATAGATAAGTGCTTTGAGCAGGATTCACAACGATCATACGTGGAGGACCAGCCTGTTCTGCGCGAACTTAAACACACGGTGGGCAGTCGCAAGCTTAATAAGGTCTATTTGCGTCGTCTGGTCACAGCACGTGAACGTCCGCCCTCCCATGCATTTGAGTCGATACGCGAGCTGGAGGAGTACACGGAACAGACCTTCTCCTCGCTACTGCTGCTGCTGTTGGAGGTAGGCGGAGTACGTGACCTAAACGCTGATCATGCCGCCTCCCACTTGGGCAAAGCCCAGGGCATCGCCACCCTGCTGCGATCCATACCGCTGGCAGGACGTCAGCAGGCGCCTTGCATCCCGCTCGAGGTGCTGGTGTTGCATGGCGTTAGTCAGGAGCGCATCATTCGCTCCAAGAGCGGCGACAAGGGTGTCGAGGACTGCATATTCGATGTGGCCAGTGCCGCTAACACGCACCTGAAGCTCGCCAGGCAGCTCCATGATAAGGTGCCGCCGCAGGTGCGCAAGATCTTCCTCTCCGCCGTGGCCACGGACGCATATTTGGAGCGCCTGCGCCGTGCCAACTTCCTGTGAGTTCCTTTTTTTCTATTCCTTTGATTTATATTCGTTTGTTTTATATTACGACCATTAAGAGAAGCAACTAGCTTTCCCTCGTAGTTAAGATGTCATTCTTATCCAATTATTAGTACGATTTCCGTTTTCTTTCCTACTTCTTCAGTTCAAATGCTGGCTACATTTCGATTTTTTGTTCAGTATTCGTGGAATACTTATATTCTTATAATAAACCCCATGCTCATCAAATCTTTTCCCATCTTATAGGCTAACCCACAAGAGTTGCGTAGGCCGCGACACCTTACTGCCAGCACGTTTATTCTGGAAGTCGCTGTTTAATCGGTTCTGATAGCCATTATGTTAGTAGTAGTGCGAAATGCTTCATTGTTGACTTCTTTAATAAAAACAATTTTAAAATAACATATTTTACATTTTCTGTGATCCAAGCAAAAGGGTTCCTAGGCTTCTTTTGGATGAAAAGGGTTAAGACGTGGCTGGAATATCGTTATCTCGCTACGAATCGGGAGGCGAATACTATCGATCACAGGTGGACCAAAGGGTCGTCCCGATGAAGCTATCGTTGGATACGATTCAAGCCCCGATTGGTACGGTACAGTAGTTGCTAGCTGATTTCAGAGCGTTTCAGGCGCAGTTTTAGTTTTTTATGATTGTTAGAATTGATGTGGAAAGTGTGTGTTGGATATTATTGAGAACGGAGCAGTGCGACGATCGCTCAACAAGATAAGCACCGTTTGTTTTTGGTCCCGTTTCCGGTTTCCGCTTCCCGGTTCCGGGAAAATTGCAACACCCCCGAATTTTTGGCAATGGTGAGTTTTTGGCGCTATTTTCGCACTTCGAAATTAAACGTTGTAAACGCTTATTTTCCGCTCATATTCCCTTCTTTCAGTTGCCGGGCTTTATTGCCTTTTTTATTTTGCCCACTTTACGTAGCGATTTCGGTTCTCCTCGCATGTAACGGTTCTTTGTGGCCCTCCTATCACACACAACGAAACGAGAAGAAAAGAAAAGAGATTGAGAGAGAGAGAGGAGAGGCAAGGAGATCGCAATTTACGAAACTTAGGAGAGTGTGTGTGAAAATACGGTACTTTTACACTGGTGGCCGTTGAAAGTAAAAGTCAGTCAATATTTAAAAATCCTGAAATGAAATAAAGTATATATGACTAAAAGCAGCAAAATACAAAAAGGAAAGAAAACCTACAAAATTAAAAAATATAAAAATACACAATTTATAATAAATCAAAACAAAAACAAAAAATAATAAAAAAATCTAAAAAAGTTTTCGAACTCGAAAAAGAATCTAAAAAAATTAAACCTAATTTTATGCTAACTTAAAACTAGTTCTAAGCAATTGAGCGCACGGGCCGAGCAATTTTTTATACCCAAAACTCGAGCCACGACAGCTACATACCCTAGATTTCCCGAACCTGGGCTATGTTCACCACCCGCATATCCGGCGACATGAAGATCTTTGCCGCAGATGTTGCCGAGAGCAGCGCCACAGCAACATGCAACACGACCGTGCAGCAGCAACAGCAGCAGCAGTCGCAGCAACTCGAGTTCCGGCCCCTAGTGTCCGCCGGATCGCCGAGTTGCAAGCCGGGACAATGTCATCTGAAGCTTGGAAAGTACAACAATAAGACGGCCAATCTGCTGCGCCAGGTGAATAGTTGCCACAGCAGCAACGGCAGCACCAGCAGCAACAACAACGAGGCCAACAAGGGACAGCAGCAGCTGCACTACTGCAACAACAGCAGCAGCAGCAACAACAACAACAACAGTCACTCGTGGGCCCGAAAGAAATACTTTGGCAATGGCAACAGCAACAACAGTCTGCAGCAGCAGCAGCAGCATCAATCTTCGTACTTCCAGCGGCAGCAGCAGCAGCAGCAACAGCAAGTGCAGCTGCAACAAGAGCAGCAGGCGACGAACAACAACGATGTGCTGATGAAGAATCAAAATATTGTGTCTGATTGCAAGTCTAGCGACAGCAGCAACAACAACAACAGCAGCAGCAGCGGTAACAACAACACCAGCAGTAGCAGCAGCAGCATCATCAGTTGCAGCAACAGAATAAAGCCAGCCAAATGGGTTAATGAGAACAGTAGCGGCAGCGGCAGCAACAACATTAATAACAATAATATCAGCTGCAGAAATAACAACACCAGTAGCAATGTTACCAAGCAGCGCAACTCCTCATCAGCAGACGCAACTGGCGCCTACTATCGCAAATCGGAGTCGGAATCTGGAAGCTCGGAAGCGGCAGCAGAATCGGCGGATGCGGAGGTCACTGGCACTGGTCGCTGCAACAGCAGAAGGTACACGGGAAATGCGTCGGGCGCCGGCAGCGGCACAGAAGAAACCATAGGTAAGTGCCAGGAGCAGGACCAGGATCAAGATCAGTCGGCTAAGCAGCGACCGCGACAGCAACCTCTTAGCTTCTGGAAAACCAATTACCCACAGACAAGCGCCAATCAGCTCAAAGATGTGAGTGGTTCCTTAGATATGCTTTCGACTCCCGGCTTAATCCATGATTTCTTTCAGAAGGAAACGGTCGCAGCAGTTGTGTCGGCGGCCGCAGTAGCAGCAGCTGCAGCATCGGAGCAGCAGCAGCAACAGCAGTCGCTGTCTCTCGAGCACAGACGCAACTCGGGCTATCAGCAGCATCAGCACCACAACTACTATCCATATTACTATTCGCAGCCCAAGCAGCTGACGATCGCCTCCTTCCTGCAGAAGGAAATGCTGCCGGATAGCACTGAGAAGTCCAGCCAGCACAGCAGCAGAAATACGGGCAGCAACAGCAGCAGCAGCAACATAATGGGCAACGGCAACAGAAACTTTTCACGGCATCAGTATGGACATCAGTCGGCGGGATCTGGCTACCAACAGCAGCAGCAGCGGTACCGCAATGCCCAGAATGTCTATCAGCAATACCAGCA